AAAGCGGCTGGCTAGAGTGAATTCCTGCATGGACTATGTCTTGGTCACACTGGTCTGGCAGGCATTGAGTATGGAGACCCTCTTTAGTGAATGGGAAAGTACCACTGTCAATTGAAGATGATTAGGATTCTTTGCTGCACAGTAGTTCAGACTGAGTTTAGAAGCATAGCAATCAATTCTACCCTTTGCTGATAGTAATCCCTAGCCTGGTACCTACAGAAGATGTGTAGGATTTTATCCTGTCATGGCATTAACACACATTCTGGCAAACTGATGAGAGAGCCAGGGTAGGCACAGATTTATTTAAGGCTCATGCTATGTGGTCAAACTTGATGATAGGCCTCTAAATTCCTTCCTCTAAGCTCTAAATTTTAGTTACTTAAATAAAATAACCCATTTCTTTGTTATACAGCTGTACAATTCATACAATAGACAAATAGATATACATAACAATAGGAATGAAAAAAAACAGTTTAGAACACTAAGTCTTCTGTTCCTCTCCTTTTACTGGATGCAAGATACTACACTTTGTGTCTTAAATAGACTTGACAACAATATAAATGCGATTACCCATTTTAATCCTGCTATTTAAAATGGAAATAACACAGTTGGCTTGTCACATTAAATCTGAATCTAGACATACATACTCACTCAGACCTATAACCAAAATACATGAGAGAAAAAGTGTGTGGCTACTCTTGACGATAGCATATCGATCAAGCTTCTCTACAGAGTCACTGAAACATCAAGAAAATCTAATAGGTTTTTCTTAGTATCATTTAGGGCCAGGAAATAAGTAGGGAATAGTATTCAGTGACCTTCCACATGGGCTGTAGAACTTGCTTACACATTCATTTTATCCAGAGAAAATTGTCTGATCTTTTTTAATGCGCTCTGCTTTCATTATGTCAGCCCTGGTATCTGCAGCTGCCTCAAGTGTAAAGATTGACATTTGCTTTTTTAACTTTATTCGCAAGTGTTTCCTGCCAGAAAAAAAGTAAGTTGTGTGAACTGTTAACTTAGTTTGCATATCGTTTGCCTTATTATCACCAAACGTTTGTGTGGAGAGAACTTTGGTAGCAATATTTTTTTACACATTTTCAGTAATTTCAGCTGTGTTAATTACTATGACTGTGTATAGGTTTCTGCCAATGCATGTTTATGATCACACATAAACAAGTATCAGCCTACACAATTTGGCAAATAACTCCATGTACTATCACAGGAAACAGTTGTAAGATTCTTTTTTTTTGACTGTACTTGACCATATACTGAATTTCTTGTTATTTCATTTACTCTACCATATAGTATATTTTGACTGGTTATAGGTCTTCAGTAGATAACAGCTAGCAGCACACAGCAATGGAGCATTCAGAACTAAATACTTGAGAACTGGTGAATCATCTTCCACTTCTTATGAGTCATGAGCATCATAGCTGGTTTTGCAAGTTAACAAGTTTTGGATTTGTATAATCGTAGCTAAAAATGAAGCAGTTGTCTGTTTATAACCTCAAAACCAGGGAAACTTGCTGTTACAGAAGACGTTAGACCTTTCTTTTCAAGTATTTGCTGAAACTTCAGAGTTTATCTGAGCTTTCTTTTTCCATCAGGAAAAGGGGAACAAACAATTCAGCACAGAAATTTGAGCTACCGGTATATTGTCAGAGATTTTCTTAAGAAATCCTCAAAATAAATCGGATTTTAATTAGAAATACTGTAGATGTAAACAGCTTGATGGACTGGCTGTTGTGTCTGTGCACTTAAATGATTCATAAAAGCTTTTTGGCCTTGGTGAAAGATGTTGCTTCCTGAGAGGCTTTTCTGTTGTGGATTGGCTCCCAGTTGAACAACTTTGATCTGCCAGTGGGCCCTGGCATTGCATTGTGCCAGTAGGTCTGGGCATCTTCTGCATTTCCTCCTGACCAGCAAAGCCACAGACCCATGTCTTTCCAAACACACGTGCTGCCGTTCACAAGATCACAGCTTTGTAATCTATAACCAGGTAGGGAGTATGGTTGATTGTTGCACTTGGCTTTTCATGAGCTTGATTCTATGTAGTATCCCATTTCAGTGGAGACTGGTGTGCCTTATTTGAATCTGTGCCATAAGCAGATACGTTTTGTTGGGTTGGAACTCGTGATGCAAGAGGTAGGTCATGCATTTGAACAAATTAGAGGCGTCCTTAGCTATAAAATGGAAGTAGGCATCCCTCACCTCTTAACTGTGCAAGTTAATCATGTCTATTTGAGAAGCCTTTTGTGTCTGTATTTCCTACATTTATTAGTGTTGTCAGTGTACTTAACTTCATACCAACTTTGGAAGTGACTATAAGATTCCAGCAATTCTGGTACATCATACTGTCCCTGTGAATAAGGACAAAATTCCTGCTTATTTTTTCCAGTGAATGAAATCAGTCCATTCCATAAACCACAAGAAATGTCACGAAGAATTGTAATTCTGAATTCTTTGGAGCAGAAACTGCAGGAAGTGCCCAGAAGCTGAAGCATTCAATTTCCTCATTGCTTCTGTATTAAATAAATAGCAATGATAAATGCTTGGGAAACTTGGCATCAGCTCAGGGAAAAGAATGACTGCATATGAATTTGTTTTATTTCTTCACAAATTGTCTCTGAGTAAAAAAGAATTAAAATATATAGAAGCTACTGTCCTCTTCTGTAAAAAAAGATACTGAGCCTGCAGATCTGCTGCATCTCTGCTTGGGTGGTCTCAGTTAAAACAGAGTGCCTCAGCAACCCACCCAGATTTCCCCAAATATGTCCACAGTACTTACTCTCAGTGTATGTAGGCACAAATGCATACACATGTTTTTTAGGAGGACTTACTCCAAACTATCCTCCCTTACTGGAATTTTCTTTGCTTTGAGCTTTACAACCAAAAACTATCTGTCACTTTTTTCCCATGTTTTGCTGAGTATGAGAGGTATCTATAAACCTTTTCCCCTTTAACAGAAACATTGATCCCTTCCCCCTTTTAATATAAAACCCGCAGCTGTTGTAACACCAAGATTCTTTAATCATGACCACCAATCCAGAATTGAAAAAAATAGAGGAAGTTCCCTGATATGTCAAATTACATGTGCAGCATCTACTGCTGAACGTGTGATTCATACAAGATTACACATGGAGCATCTATTGCAAATGTCTTTGTGTTACGGACCCGTCAGATAAGTCTTCATCCCTCAGAACCATAAAAAATGTCTTGGCTGAGTGTACGTGTGGCCACATGTGTTTGCAAGATGGATTCATTAATCACAGTGGAAAATACTTGGCATCTTGTAGAGGTTTTGACCTGTGGTTGCAGTTGCAGTTTTGGAACATTTGGACCCTGTGAGCACAATGTGAAATGGTAATAGCGTCAATGCAGGTCTATTTTAAACACAGTTCTGAAATTAATTCTATTATGGAAGCTGTGGACACTGTCAAAATGAATATATTTCCTCATTTAAAGAAATAAAGAGTACTAAAGCTCTCCCTAGAGCTGCTTTCCATGTTCTGCAGTGCCATAGTGCACACCTCTGGTGTGGAAGTCCAGGTTGGCATGTTTTGAAGCCTGTCCTAAAATCTGCTGGTGAACCCGACATTGTGGGAGAAGCACTTGCCACACAAGGTGTTTCGTCCCTGGGTGACTTTCTACTTTCCTTTGACATATTTCTTCTAGACTCTCACAGTAGAACAGTGCGCATCATCTCCTAGACTAAGGGTGTTACTCCAGTTGCTTATTTTTATCTTTTGCTCAAAGTATGTGTGGAAGAGGGATTTCAGTCTCCAATAAATAACGACATGGCAAACAGTTTTGTGATTCTGACTTTAGCTTATTTGAAGTGGTACATTTTGGGCTTCATAAAGGTGTTTTATCCTTCTCATAAGAAAGCAAACTGTAATTAGTAATTATAGTAGTTATCAATGAGAATAATACATCAGGTATTATGACCTAAAATATAAATTAGTCTATTTCGGTGGGTCAGACTAACAAAGACAGTTTCATGTTACAGCTTTTCAAGAAACTCTTCATTGTGTTCTACTCTAGCAGATAAGTATTCAGATTTTGTGATTGCTTTTAACAAAGTTGATTTAACTGCAGGTGTTAAATATAAATTCAAAATGTATATGATTGCACAAGTATCTGTTACAATCAGTTGTCTGAGCAAAGTTTTCTGCTGGCTGGATTTCTCTTATCTGGATATTCTAATTACATTAACTATCCAAAATTATGACTAAATATTTCTACTGTGTTTGGAGAAAATATAAATTATAAATTTTAAATTAGTAAAAATGTAATCTGTGCTAAAAAGCTTTTAATTTTAAATTTTAAACCTTTTCAGCATAAATTCAGAGAGATGTTGAACTTAAGAAACAGTTGAAATGCAAAAGCAAGCGACTGTAATTTGTTTCAACATTCTGACATTTAAAAATTACATATTCTAATAACATTATTATAGAAATTTGATGCAAAATTGTAAACCATTCAATCATTGTATAATTAATTATGGCCTGAAAAAAAAACCCATCAAACTTCACATAGTTATCATCATATTAATTATTTTTATATAGCTAATGTACAGCAGTTGTTTTATTACTAAATTGTTACACAAGAAGTTACATGTAGTAATAACTTTGAAATCTACCATGCTAACGATATTAAACCTGAATTTACCAGTTGTGCATTTTTCCTATCTATATGGTCATCTTTGTTCTGTAGTAGGAATTCCAGGAATAAAACTAATACCAAGTGCTGCTTTCGTGGTTTCTTAGTTTTTTCAGTGGTCTCAGATAAAGATGCTGAGCTGACTTGTTTTTTCAAAGAGGTTAAACTGTGTAAACATAATTGTGAACACAGTTATGATCGTATCATAGATGATAAATAGTATAAAATAAACTCGTTTTATTTTTGATGTTCATATTTACTAGGAAAACATATTACATGGTCTGAGTTCTTCAGTGCTTTATCAAGAATGTCAAATACCACTTTTTGTTTTCCAGGGCTTAGTTATTGAACGGCTCGGACGCAGGCCTCTTCTCATCGGAGGTTTTGGGTTGATGGTTGTCTTCTTTGCAGTACTTACCGTCTCTCTGACTTTACAGGTAATGCTACAGTCACTACATATTTTTACTCTGTCTTTTGCCTTTTTTAAACACCAGGTTCTCGATACTGGTTTGCCTTGGCATTCCTACATAAGCCAATCCTTTTAATCGGTTTGGCATAAGGATTCAAAGGTCTGTATTTTGCTTATTTATGGATCTATTGATTTCAAAGTACTATGCTTATCCATTATAGCTTTTGCATTAAAAACCATAGGGGCTTTGTCATGCTCAATCTCCTTAACTCAAAGATGCATGCATATCATGAACTATTACGAAGACAATATTATCCATAGCTGGGTAAGTAGTTTACCCATATTCCATGTTTTTATCTTTGTAGTGCAGTCTTTCTGGAATTTCTTTCATACTTTATATGTCATCCTTATTCTTAGGTTTGGATGTCTTTTCCCAGTAGTGAAAAATTTCCATGTTTGCTGTTTCTTTCAAGTTACATTTCTGGTATTGTTAGTGAAAATATAAAGACTTAGCCTTTGCAGAACATTTGCACTTACATTCTAAGATGTTATCAGCAGTCAGTTCCCCAGCTATTTTAAAAGTTCAGAGGAGGATTATTAGACCAACCTAAATACTGATCCTGAATCATTTTTCCTTGTTTATATTTCATTTACATAACGATGCTGTTCTTTTCTGTTCCTGAGGTCTTTTGACAGGTAAAACTGACATCTGAAATGGCATGGTTTTGGGTAGTCTTTCATCAAGTTGTTGTCCTACTGTCGTTGATTCCTGTGTCTTGCCATTAATCTGACTTCTAAATCTTGTTTCTTGGCTGAAGAGAGCCAGTCAGTTTGACTAGGAGGTGAATGCCACACCATGGCACTTTTGTTTGACGTACCTGTATGTACATTACAATAAAACTTCACGTACCTGTCATGAAAGCTATAAGACAGCTCTCCAGAAGAGAGATGTTACTGCAAGTTTCATATGCTGAGTGAAAACTTCTCTTCCAAATCTTCTAAAACCTAGCTTGATGCATGAGGACCTGCAACTATTGTAAATCTCTGAAGTTTGAATGCCTTTCAGTTTTACTTCCTTTCAGAAGTGTCTCAATCTGTTGAGTATTAGAGGTCAGGTATTGCTTTGAACAAAGGACCAGGGTACATAGAGGCTTGATCTCAGAGGCATTTGTATCCACTCCATAATATTTGCACCTTCTCTCTCTCAGTGCCTTTAGAGTCCTTTGATATGCATTCAGATGAGAACTCCAGAATGTGTAATTTTGATAGATCTACAAGTCTCTTGGTTAATATTAATGCCTAGGAGACCGTGTTTTCCACATGACTAAAGGAATAACCCAGTCTTGAAGAGAAAAAAGCATTGGAAAATTGGGGTCTTTATTTAACACTGAAATAAATAATAACCTATTTTAGCAAGGATCACCACTCAGGGTGATATTTTGTAATACTAGTTGTGCATATCTTAAACAACTTTGCAAAAGTAGTAGAATTCTAATAAAAATGGCATTCATACTTTGCTGATGGAAAAAAACAACTGATGAAGAGAGAAGGGCATGGGAATCCATGGGCTTTTCCCATCTATTAGTATTGTTATCAAACATTCACATCCATGATTAAGAAACAGTGTCCTGAAAACTCAGTAGAAATTGCTTATTGTATTTCAAGTTTTTATCATTTAGAGGTTTGAATAAACAAAAATCTACTTAGAAGTAGAAAGAAAAGTGCCTTGTGAGTAGAAGAGGTGATCCCATTTACAATTCCCTTAAAGAACCATTTATAGTTTGCTCTCTGTTGTAGTGTACCTGTTGTTTGCACACATGGCCCTCCTTGTCTGCAATATCAGATCATGGCTAAAAATCCTTGGATGTGGCTTTCACATGCTTTGCTAAGGTTCATATACAGCTGTCCTACCGAAAGGCAGCCTGTCATGTCTAGACTTCAGTCCAGTCTTTAACTGGTGAACTTCAAAGCTCTGTGGGCCATCACAGTTGCTCTTTTTAAACATGACTGAAATACCTGAGGAGGATGGAGGCACCGAATCTGTTCAATGGAAAGAAAAAGTCTTTTCTAGGTTAGCTTGAACTATAGCACAAGAAGTTGTAAACTTTCAGAGTTGTGACTTCTGTGGTGTGAGAGCTTGTCTAGTGTTTCTCTACAGGAATGCCACAGAGACCAAGACCTTTAATAAAATTCATCTATTAAGGTTCTACAGAAATACTGTAATTTTCTAGAGTAATCCTAGTCTAAATTCTGAAATAGATAAAGAATCATGGAAAACACCATCTAGTCTCTGTGATTTTTTTATATTGGTGATACGTACAATTTACATAACATGAATGTCTTTTATCTACCCAGAAAACAGTGCATTGGCTTCCTTACCTCAGTATATTTTGCATCCTTGCAATCATTGCATCGTTCTGCATTGGACCAGGTATGTCTGTATTTTTTCATGTTTCTTTGTACATCAAAGCACAGGTATTTTTACACTGGCACTATGTTAAATCTCTTGTAGGGAACTTCACTTTACCCTTATATGAAGACTGCAAGGCGTTTAAGACAATAAAAGGTGATAGCAACACAAAGCGATAGCAATATTCTTGATAAAAATCCATGTACACATGCATTCCCACTTACGTGTCAGTGTAATTGAGAACTGGTGCATAAATTGCAATCAGTTCCAAATTAAAATGTTGCCTATTACTGTAGGATTGCAATGATTTTGTAAATCTATAAAGAACACTCAGACTGAAAACTGAGTGTTTTATTTATCAATGCTTGTGTTGTGTTAGCAATTCAGTGCTGGTAGAATGCAAACAGCACACTGGTGGAGGGGGGAGGAACAGAGTGTGGTTCCTTTCCAGAGATAGAGAAGCATTGTGCAAGAGGGTTTACACATGCTCTTTTTAGGAAGATGACAGAAAAAGTGGATGTCCTGATGGTGGAGCTGCCTCTTGCCTGGCAGTTCTCTACTGACTGTATGCGCTTCAGATATGATGCCCTCAGGTGACTGTTTTTATAGGTTGTAATGAGTTTATCAGAGCTATTTTCCCAGTCTAGTTTTGCTTACGTAGAGATGGATACAACTTTATAGACAATTCAGTATTCACAGGTTGTAATTTTTGTATCTGATTTTCTTTAATAAAGAACATGTTTAACATACAACAAAGTAATAAAGCCAGACCTTTCTCAGGAATGTAGAATGCAAAGACAAGAGCAAGAGTCAAGTCACAGCAAGGGCAATTCGGACTGGATAGAAGAGAAAAAAAAATTATACTGAGAGTGGTTAAGCACTGGAAGATGTTGCTCAAAGAGGCCATGAAATGTCCATCCCTGGAGCTATTCAAGACTCAGCTGGACAGGTTCATGAGCTACTGGCCCTGCTTTGACCAGAGGCTGAACTCCACAAGTCCCTTCCAACCTAATTTACCCTGTGATTCTAATTGCACCATATCTTTGGGAAGTGCATTTTAATAGGTACGCATAAGATGCAAATAGTTGCCTGAGTGTAGTATTTCTATAAACAGTATTGCTCTAGCCTTCAGATACTTGATCAGAATTGGATCCTGAAGTTATCAAATAGTGAAATGTTAACCAAAATTATTTGCAGATAGATAAAGAGGAATTTAATCCAAATTCAATTCGTGTACAGAATAAGATGTCAAAACAGTGCTTAAATTTTCAAAATTTCTCTTACAAGCTGTTCTCCACATAAAGGGGAAAAATCAGCTGCTTTTTAGGAGTTTTTTTGTAGTTGTTCAGCTGTAAACCTGAATGTAAGACTTCTGTTCCCCTGAGTTCTCGGGTTTTTCATGCACCATTTATTGCTTCTTTTTCTTTATAAAGAGTTTGACATTAAACATTAATCAACTGTTTATACATTTTCACTACTGAAGTGATCTAATTAATTGATTGTGGTTTATTTGGGGAAAGAAAGAGCTGCTAATGTTTCGTGTGACTAATAAAATATTGCTGTAATTCTGTGGCTCCTCTTTTGGAAAAGCTGAAGAAAACTTATGCTGCTTTAGAGGAAAATAGGGAGAAGACCAAAATATTCCTTTTCCTCTTGCTTCTGGGAGAACAGTTTATCGCTAATATCTGTGTGTATTGCTTTACATATGGTAGCTGACTGGAAGTCAGATGAGTCAAACAGGCTTGACTAGGGTCATTAATGCACCTAATGTTGGACTGTAGGTGGCCTGTGAATGCTGTTCTTCCTCACTTCCAGCTCTTCTTGCAAAGCAAATAATGCAAAAAATCTTGCAATCCCTTTGTTCTTCCGTAAGGACAAATCTCAGGTTCAGCTAAGTCCCTAGTATTGTTGACATACGTTTCTTAGACTGGGATTTTTTTTCTTTTTTTGAAAGAATAATTCTGTGGAATAGAACTGCTCTTGTATTTTGAATACCTAAGGAAAGTAAACTGTTGACTTGAAATTACCTGAAAACTTCCAGTCTCTTAAGTAGCTCAATTTATGTGCAGCTACTTTACAACATCTACCTTTTTCTTTCTAACAAACTGTTGAAACAAATTGTAATTTTTTCCATATTACAGATATGTTCCACTAGTTTTTAGAACTTGCAGATCAATATGTTCTTACATGTTATATTTTCATCTTATTGAGATGAACCCTCTACATTTCTTCTTCGCCTCACCATTCTTCAGAATGGATTCTGGTTTTCTTCATTTAGCTTCTGTCCCTTTACTGATGCTATTCAGGGTTTTCTGTTGTACTTTGCATTCTCTTTGGAGCAGTGTCTGCAGATACATGCAAGACAAACAGTTTTTGTTTGATATTATTTACTTGCTTTCTACAGAAATTCCTTAAAAATAAATCTTCTTCTGTGTTTTTCCCTGTGCTCACTGCTTTTAAAGCCAAAGAAGATTAATACTGTACCAGTAGCTACCTACTTGGCCTCTCTACCTTTCCTGTGTATGTTCAAACATTTGTAATACCTGACAGTAGTGGGAATATCTGAGTAGCATTGAATATTGATTTGCTTTTTATGAAAATTTTGTTAATTGACACTTCAGCTGTGAATTGCAAAGAATCACATTGTGATTCCTCTGTAAATCAATAGCAGTACTTTAGCTGAACTTAATGGGACCAGATTTATCTTCAGTGAAACTTCTCTGTTCTGTTTAGTGGGGCTTAGGAGATCTGAACTACTTTGCTACCTCTTAGCTGGGAGCAGTTCTCTTTCAGAATATGAAAACAACTTTGATTATTAGCCATGCCTTAAGATGGATAAATGAGAAGAGAACACATGTATTTTTTTCTGAACAAAGAAAATATTACCAAAAAGTGATACATCCACTTTGCATCCACTGCTTTTTGTATCACAAGGCACAACTTAAATATTTGAGTGTAATTACTGTATCAAGTTTTGCCCCCCTCCCCAGTACAGTAAAGATTTCAGGAAGGTGGGACAAGTCCATTTGAGAGTCACCAAGTCAGTAGCAGGAGCCCGGTGAGAAGGGGCTGGGTGAGCTGGACTTGTTCAGCCTGGAGAAGATACAGCTTTGGGGCACCTAAGTGCAGCCCCAGTACCTATGATGGGGGAGTTGCAGTGACAGAGCCAGGCTCCTGTTGATGCTGCATGGTAGAATGTTTGAGAGACAAAAGGCATATGTTGAAACAGGGAATATGCAGAGTGACTATAAGGAAAAGCTTTTTGCTTATAGACAATCGAGCAGACTACCAAGGATTTCGAATCCTTCATTACTACATAAGATCAAAACTGAGTAGTTTGTATTTCTGCTCTTCTATTTTGGAACTCTGTAGTCCAGTGGGAAATCTGTGTTTCTGGATCTTCCTAGACAGGGCAAGTACTACTCATGAGAAATTATCAATTCATTTAAAATTGGCTTTGTTTTGTTCAGAAATATACTGTGACAGTTATACTAAGATACCTTACACGTGACAGATAGGTCATATACATATAAATGTATCATACATATACTAAGGAACTAAGTTTGTTATCAGGGAAGTGTGCTGTGCTCCCATTTCTTTTAATGGGAAAGTCACTGTTGAAAAGTAACCTTATCTTTCATTTCCTACTAATGTTAGAGTTTTAGCAAGAGCAAGTAAGTAAGAAAGAACATATTTTTGAACACGTCTCCAGTACGGTGGCTGTAAGAGAGTGTCTAAAGAAAAGTGCAAAGAAGGAAAGCAGCTGAGACCCTTTTCCAGATCCAGTACACTTTTTTTTCAGCTTAGGGTCTTCCTGAGGCATAGTTTCTAAGATTTTCATAGTATTCTACGGATTTGTTCATTTTCCGTCTGAAACTGTGCAAAATTTTAGAATCCTCTGCCAAAGAAAACTACATGTCTACCACCTCTCAAACACATCCTTTGTCGTGCTTTGTGTGATACCCTCTACGTCTTGCACTGGAAGAAGTGGAACAGCTGATCACTTTCCTCCCTCTTCAAGTTTCTTGTGATTTTATAGACTTTTACCTTACCCCAGATGTTTCCAGACTGAATGGCTATTTCCTATTGCTGCCCTCTCTGTGATATTTTATGACACCCCTTTAGCAAGAAAATTTCACACTTCAATATCTATTATTCCTTTGTAGCACTCCAGTAGCTTAATGAGACAAGACTGTACTTTAGGAATAATTTTCCCACATTTCTGGTCAATTAAAGGGTTTTTCCTCAAGAAAAATAATGCATATTCTTTATTTTTAACTTGCAGATTTTTAATGTTTTCAGCCTTTTGTAGAAGTTGTGAGTCATTTGTTTGTATTGGTTAAACAGGTACTATTGTCGTGGTATTACTAATGCTCAGTGTATTATTTAATTGCTCCTGTAGTTATTTAGAGCATTACAGCACTCTTCAGAGTAAATCCCACATGGTTTGTAATGATTCTATAGATGCAGATCTTAATCTAGGATGAATTCAGTTTACGTTCATTGTACTATTGGTACTTGAAAGAATTATCCCATCTGAAAATAGTAAATAAAATGAGGAATTTAGCTTATGAAAATACTGCTGTAACTTTCTAGAGCATAACTTTGCCTTTAAAAAATACTGTATTTTCTGTCTTGTTAGAACATCTGATAGTTTCTTGATAGCTTAGATGTTGTATGGTCTCCCACTTTCTGATAGCATATGGATGAGTCCCATCTGCTCCTTTACAGCTAGGATCAGCTGTTACTATAAACTGTGGGGTTTTTTTATTTGTTTCATTTTTTCTGAACTCGGCTTTTCAGCTTGCAGATGTTTTTTAGGAATATTGCTAGGGACTGAAACAGTAATGCTAACAACAGGTATGTTCAGGCATGCATGTGATTTGATACTTCATCATTTTTATCAAAAGACAAGCAGCAGAAAGCTTTCATTTACTAAAAATTAAAGGGACCCTTATGTTCAAGATAGTCACTCTATGATCTGAAAGAAAAATACACTTCAGAAATTGTTTATTGTTTTA